ACGAGAATTCATCAACCCCCGCGGTGGAATCTACGTAAACTCGGCGGACGAATATTTTCGGAAGAGCTAATGGTAGCACCGACTCCAGGGGAGAGAATTCCCCCCGAACTAACGGGCCGGTAAAAAGCGGAAAGACTGACAGACGAGACGGCCCAATTAATAAACAGCTTCTGCAGAGGCACAATGCCGAAATGTCGACAGATACAACAAACACAACCACAATATTGGTGGACGAACGAAATATCCGAGTTACGCAGGATATGCCTGACAAATCGGCGACGAGTGACAAGGGCAGTAGGCGGAGCCGAAAGGGAAAACCTCCCAGCCATATACAAAACAGCACGGAAGACGCTGACGAAAGCAATATGGGACAGCATGATGCGATGCTGGAGGAAGCTCTGCGATGAGGTGAACGAGGATCCCTGGAGAACCAGCTACAAGATCGTGACCGGGAAACTAGGGTCCTGAGTCTCACCGGAACTTAAAGATGCCGAAACAGTAGGAAGGATTGTTGACGGATTGTTTCCGACGCACCCGATTAAGAAAAACGTGATGGATGACGTGAACGTACAAATGCCCCCCTTTTTACTGCTGAGTAGCTCATCAGAGCAACGAATGTGATGAAGACGGGTAAAGCACCGAGACCGGACAGAGTACCAACCAAAATCCTCCGGCTTATGGCTCGTCTACGGCCGGAGATACTCCTCGACCTATACAACACGTGCTTGATGACAGGAACGTTCAGCGACCGGTGGAAGGTGGCAATGCTCGTTCTTTTCCCCGCCAGCCATTTTTTCATATTAGGAAACAAATAGTAGTCCGACGGAGCCAAGTCTGGAGAATAGGGGGGATGTGAAACGAGTTGGAACCCTATCTCCATCAGTTTTGCGGCCATAACTGCTGAGGCGTGAGCTGGCGCATTGTCGTGGTGGAAGAGGACTTTTTTGTGGGCCAATCGTGGATGTTTCTCCAGCAACTCGGTTTTCAAACGATTCAATAACGATAAATAATATTCGCCTGTAATGGTTTTACCCTTTTCCAGATAATCGATGAAAATTATTCCTTGCGAATCCTAAAAGACAGTCGCCATAACCTTCCCGGCCGATGGAATTGTCTTCGCCTTTTTCGGAGCAGATTACCCCTTGCTAACCCATTGTTTAGACTATTCTTTGGTCTCAGGAGTGTAGTGATGTATCCATGTTTCATCTACAGTGATGAAACGACGCTTAAAGTCTTGCGGATTTTGCTGGAACAGCTGCAAACCATTCTTGCAACACTTCACACGATCTCGTTTTTGGTCAATCGTGAGCAATCGCGGCACCCATCTAGCGGATAGCTTTTTCATGTCCAAATGTTGGTGCAAAATATTATGTATGCGTTCACTCGAGATTCCTACAGTACTAACAATCTCACGCACCTTCACTCTTCTGTCAGCCATCACCATATCATGGATTTTATCAATGATTTCTGAAGTGGTAACCTCAACAGGGCGTCCCGAACGTTCGACGTCTATTGTGCTCATATGGCCACTCCGAAAATTTTGATGTCTCTTCTTTAAGATGTCTTTTGTAGCTTTTTGTGTATAGATAATGTCGTGGTGATACATAGCCTCAAATATAGGCAATAATCGCCATTTTCACACTTTTAGGTTAGGATATTTCAAAATCCTGACGTGCTGGAGTAATTCTGAGGCCCGATTCGATTTCAGCGCCGAAAAATTCTTAGGGAAACCAAGTACGGTTTGCTTGTGCAAAAAATTAAGGTATTTTTATAGGACTGTGTAATATTGGAAATTTAAAAAACTGTTAAGCATCTTTTATCGTTAATATCTTGCAAGGAACGTTAATTACGATTCCGCGATCAAATTATCTCAATTTCACGAGTAAATTGAATGCTGGAATAAATTGAATGAATTGAATGAATTGAATAAAGGAATTGAACACTGCCACCCGATTTTTTCGACTGTCTAGGCATACCTTGTGATACGGTGCATCATTATTAAAAAGGGCCATCGTAATTTCCCTCGCCACGTAACCGTGCGAATTAATTAAACAGATAAATAGAGAAACCGAAACACTTTGTTTCACGAAAATCGGCTTATCCGCGACCGGGAAAACGATGATGTAAGCCGGCAACGCGATCCGACGGGAGCTTATCAACGATAACAATAGCTGACGAGAAAGAAAACTGAGGATCGTACGCACCCTACCACGCGTTGGTACCGTCACGGAATGAGAAACGGCGATAATACTTGATTCCACGAACGTGGAATGAGGGGCGCCCAGCAAACAGGACTACTACCGCAGCTGATGGAGAAGAGCGACCGGCAATCAGCTGTCGCCGGCTACTCGTATATGACGACGGCGCCCTAAGCGCGACGCTGTCACCATGAGGGGAAAAACCTATGTTTTCATACACACACGCGCACACTAGACACACAGCTGGAGCGATAATCGAGCACTCGAGGAAGTGAAAACCGAACCGGTACCGGGAGCGGATCGCACGTAGATGAGCGGCGACAGCCATTTTGACGATCAGCGACAAACAGGATAGACCATAGAGAGAGAAAGAGAGAGAGGAAAAGCAAATTAGAAAGAGAGAGCAAATAACGAACGGCGCGCGCACGTAACTGATCAATACCTTTTTAAATTATTCGTATGTGCACATACATTGGCCGCGAAGGCGCTACGAAACGAAGAAACTATAAATCACCATTGAAAAAGAATCGTCTTACGGTGAATAATGAATGCGATGTAAATAAAAATTGTAATGCGAGGACTAAAAATTGTAAATACGATCTAGCTCATACGGAAGTTTCCGTATACTTCTGACCAACCGCCATTTTCTGACCGGGTGTAATAGTTGAGTGGTGTGCAGAAACGATTACAATGATGCAGAAGGCTTTTGGAGATGACTTTATGGGTAAAAGTCAAATGTGTAAATGGTACAAACAGTTAAAAGATGGCTACCAATCTGACAGTGATTCGCGCTCAGAACATCTTTTAAGCACAAAAACACCGGAAAATATCGATCTTGTGCCATTCGCGATTAAAGAAGATACCGATTGACTGTGCGGGAACTGAATATGATCTTAGAATTTTGAAAAGCACTGTTTGGAAAATTTTAATCAAGAAACTGAGAATGACTCGTGTGTGTGCAAAAGTCAGAACAATGTCAAATCAATGCTGATTGTATTTTGTATTATGAAGATGTTATGCACCACGAATATATTCCTAGAGACCAAATAATCAATAAAAAATTTTATTATGAAGTTTTGAAAGGATTGTGAACGATTGCAATAAGAAAACGGCATTAACTTTGTTCAAGTGGTGACTGGCTTCTTCACCACGACTATGCCGCTTAATGTTTTCATTACTTATGTTGTTGGTTGCTATCACCACTGTTTAATGTACATTTATTAAAAGTCGTTCGGATTTTGAAGAGCATCCAGTCGCATGTCCGCACAGGACGGGCGCCATAAGAAAAGTACTAGCCAATTAACGTTAGAAAACAATCTTCTATTATTCTTTTCTCTTCTCTTCACTGCACTCACTTCACTTTTTATTACACGTAAATATATTTATTAATTTTATAAAATATTAATTTCTTTATTTTAATTTAACATGTGTATTGGAGCAGAATTTCAATAAACCATTCCATAGTATCACAAAAAAGTAAAAAAACGGCGTTCGTTACTATAGAGCATACCCATAGTTTTTAAAATCCGTTTACTCCGAATTCAAAGTTTACTCAATTTAATTAAGTTTTGATAAAAGATACTTAACAGTTAAATGATTAATTTGCATTAAAACCTAATTTTTTATTCTAGATTTCAAAAGATCCAGAGATTTTACTTTTAACTTTGTTATTGATTGTAACAGGGATAATGTACATAATTTTTTATTATTAAAATGATTTATTATTATTTGTAAGGGGATTGAGTAACTGTTGTAATGAGGGTCTGTCTAAGAACAATCTTCCACGATGCAGAGCTAACCGTCGCTCCGTTAATTACGTATGAGCGTACGTGTATTCGCCTTTACGATTAATACTTTTGCTCCAATGTCTCCTTTCCAATAGAGTTGAACTCAGCTTTAGTCACCTGACTCATGACACTTGTTTTATCTTAGGTGTACTTAGACTAATGTTTATTTCCACTAACCCCTAGACGAAATTAGTTTAAAAGATTGCAGGAAACGGATCAGTTAAATTAAAGGGAAACGAAAGAACGTAAACAAACCTTTTATAGAAATAAAAGTTACAGTTTTTTGTAGGCCGAAACATTTGCGCACGCGTATAAGATTAACATTTATCCTGGGAGAGAGAAAGAGAGAGAGAAAGAAAGAGAGAGAGAGAGAGAGAGAGAGAGAGAGAGAGAATACGAAATTCTACCGCGAACTATAACGCTCGGCGCAAATGCGATAACGATCGCTTACAAATCTATGCGAGGAATTATACGGTCACGTGGAAAAAGGGTGGTACACCTACCCTGTGGTGCAATTACGGTGATCAGCCGTAAATGATGTCGGCAAACAACTTTTGCTCCCGGGTGATGCTGCGACGACGCTGCCTTAGCTACCGGATCGGTTGCTGCTCGTCCAACTCCTCGCTGTTAATCTCTGTTGTGGTTTTCCTCACTCCTCAATCTCACACCACTCACGTACCAAAACAAAAACCCAAATCTTTAATTCGACAAACGACATAGAAACACAAGATAATAATTGGCAGTTTTCTAATCAACAGCTGAGGCAATACTAAAAATGAAACTTGTGCACGCCCCCTCTCTCTCCTAAACGTTCACTCTAGCACTTCGAGTATGTCGAATCGCGAACGTATCGATTGTTCGAATCGACTACCGTTGCACATTACATCTAATATTTATTTATAAACTAAGTGAGAAATTCAACAAATACGCTTCATATATATCAGTATTAATAATCAAAAGAATTTTCTCAGAATGAAAATATTTTACAGTTTTAACCATAAAATATATTTTACAGTTTTATGTATACTGGTCAACTAGAATATTGGGCATCAGAGCATAATGACCTGTACCGAACAGCTCAAAAATTAAAAATGTCTATTTTAATAAAACTACTAGATGCTCAGTTAAATCAGACTCACTCAATATCTGCAACCAAACCAGAAGTAGAGTTTACGACTGATAAACAACAAGTGATATTCCAACGAAAACCATTTTTTGAAGACACCGCCTCTAATGAAAAGTAAGTGGCAATAAAAATATTCTTCTTTATTGCTGAAGACTAGTTGTTTATTTGAATGCATAGTTCAATGTTATATGATTGTATCATCCTATAATAATTATTAAGTTCTAATTTAATTTTACTTAAAATTGATCTGGAAAACATTCTTGCACTACAAATATATATTATAAAGTTTATATAAAAATAATAGAATTGAGATTTAGGATGCCATAAAATATTTTATTATCTAACATGGCCCTTTGCACTTTCGTTGACCTGTGAATAAGTCAAATAATATATTAATTATGTTTTAGATCCTTAGTACAGTATATACGGTTTTTCATTATTTGACACATTCATTCTTAAAAAATAAATAAATAATCTTGAGCGGATCATAGTCCAATGAATTGGTTAAAATGTTAACTTTTTCATAGGCTTGAATATTTTAATACATAAGTTTAATTATTTATTTTTCTTCTGATTTTTAAAAGTATATGATTTGTGTATCATGTTGTATTCTTAATTATACTACTGCTCACATATGTTGTATATTTCAGGAAATCTTTGATACGATTTTTCAGCCATTTTAAATGGTGGATAATTCAGGTGAATCTTGACCTTCATCGAACTTTTAAATTTCGAATCCAAACAAAAAATTTTACCGTGGTACTTATTACGAGGGTGGGTCAATAAGTCCTTAGAAAATCCAAGAGATGGCGCGCTAGGTATTACAATTTATATTGCTACAGTACACGTCACTTCTAACTAGAATACTCTCAAAATTTCAATCAGATCCATAAAGAGGTTCCGTTTTTATTGTTGATCAAAGTGAACAATTTTCGCTTATCTTTCAACAATGAAAAAAGTAATTTCCGAACGGTGATAAAACATTTCTATTTAAAAGGCCTAACATCCAAAGAAATTAAAGCTGAGTTAGATACAGCTCATGGTGTATCCCCTCCTATATATGCAACTGTATACAATTGGCTAAACTATGTAACGGACACATTGTATTAGAGTAAAGGCAATGACCTATCGGACGTTTCGCACTTAGATAACAGCGACTCTCGCTATGACGTCACGCGCGAAAAGTCAAATTAGATAAATATAATAGGTGAAAGACCGCTCAAGGTTCCGTCAACCTCCAAATTAATATACATACTAAGGAGAAATTATACCTTACGCATATAGAAACAAATTTTAATCTACCAAACGAATAACATACTTAATGCTAATTTACCTAAATTGCAATTAAAGAGAATTTGATCATTGATAACAATTTAACTCTACAGGTATCAACAAAACTAGTTATTAAGTCGATATACATGTTATATGAACTAAAAAGCCATGAACTCTAAGAAATGTAATTAAACAAAATCATGAAGTTATCATAAACATCTGTAAATAATACAAATAACTTGAAAAACAGCTAAGATTGACTTTAATCGATGTTGATTGATAATATTCGCAGCATACGTATAAGTCATTGAAAATGAGTAGATATCTATAAAATAATTATAAGTCAACGACTACTCAGTTTAATAAATGATTGATTGTATCGAAACTGATAAAATTCTATTGATTAAACCAAAATACATGGAAAATTGCGAGAATTCATAGGCAAAACGGCGCTCTAGAATTTTCGATGTGCGAAAACAAAGACTCTTCTAAATAAATTAGTGGGGTAAGATTCGCAATCCGCTCTACTATGTATAAATACGTAGGCCAGTGTACGTCGCTTGAATCACCATTGATCTGAGTACCACGCAGATAGTTGGATTGAAGTTGAATAAATGACTGGCAACAGTCTTTATTTAATAATTCTGTTTCTTTGTTTGTCGATTTGGAACCTTGCCCTTCATCTTACAAGTAGTTTGGATCATTTCCGAATTATTTCTATCCGAAAGACAGTATCCTTCTAAGATTATTATTAAACAATTAACATAATCAACAATGGGAAGAGTGACCTTTTATTAATGCCCCGATGCTATGTGGTCTATTTTCCTGCGGTGAGGGTAGAAATAATTGGTCTCTCTCTCTCTCCCCGTATTATTGAAAACTTGTAAATCCTATTCACGTGTGCAAGTCTTTCGGCTAAACGAAGACTGTAGTTTTTTAGTCATAAACAATCTTAATTTTATTCGCCGCATTACGTTATTTCGTTGCCTTTTAGTTTAACGGATCCGCCATTGGTTATTTTTTAAACCGATTTCATCGAAGGGATAGTTAGAGTAAACATTAGGTCACTCACACCTAAGAGTGTCACGAGTCAGGTGACTTAAGGTGAGTTCAACTCTGTTGGAAAAGGAGACATTGGAATGAAAGTATTAAATGTAAAGGCGAATACACGTATACTCATACGTGATTAACGGAGCGGCGGTTAGCTCTGCATCGTAGGAGTTTGTTCTTTAATAAACCCATTTTGTACCAGCTAATCCACCCCGTTGCTATATATACGAGGTGTGATCAAAAAGTAAGGTGAATTTTGAAATTTAGCGGGCTACGTCCGTTCGATCTACGACTTTTTCATTTGGTTATGTCGGTACACTCGTCTAGAACATACGTTCCAAATTTCAGCTTTGTAGTATGTTTGGTTTGTTTGTGAGAGGCATCAAGGTTAGAAGTGTTTTGCGTGCTCCATGATTTGCTGCTGTCTAAAAACATGGATCAAAGAGTTTGCATTAAATTTTGTGTGAAAAATGGAATCAAATGTTCCAAAACACTTGAAATGATGAAAGTGGCATACGGTGAGTCTACTTTAAGTCAAAAAAATGTTTACAAGTGGTATAAACTCTTCCAAGAAGGCCGAGAAGACACCGACGACGAACCTCGTTCTGGACGCCCCAGCACATCAACAACTGATGAGAATGTTGAAGAAGTGAAGAAAATAGTGTTGAGAAATCGTCGAATTACCATTAGAGAAATTGCTGATGATATTGGCATCTCATTTGGTTCGTGCCAATCAATTTTGACGAGTGTTTTAGACATGAGACTTGTGTCAGCGAAGTTTGTTCCGAAATTGCTCATTTTCGACCAAAAGAAACGTCGCATGAGCATCGCCCAAGAGCTACTGAATGACGTCAACGATGATCCAGATTTACTCAACAGGGTTATAACAGGTGACGAAACATGGGTATACGGTTATGACGTCGAGACTAAGACTCAATCGTCCCAGTGGAGGCATTCTGGATCACCAAGACGAAAAAAAGCACGCCAAGTTCGATCAAATGTAAAGGTTTTGCTTACAGTTTTCTTTGACTGCAGGGGCGTGGTGTATCATGAGTTCTTGCCACAGGGTGGAACAGTAAATAAGGAATATTACCTGCAAGTTATGCGCAATTTGCGCGAAGCAATCCGCCAGAAACGTCCGAATTTGTGGAAAAATAAAAAATTGGCTTTTGCACCATGATAACGCCCCTGCTCACACATCGTTGCTTGTGCGCGAATTTTTGGCTAAAACCAACACAGTAACGATGCCACAGGCACCGTATTCCCCAGATCTGGCCCCCTGTGACTTCTTCTTGTTCCCAAAACTGAAGAGGCCCATGAAAGGACGGCGTTTTGCCACGATTGAGGAGATAAAGACGGCATCGAAGGATGAACTAAACAAGATCACAAAAAATGATTTTTTGAAATGCTTTGAGGATTGGAAAAACCGTTGGCACAAGTGCATTATATCCGAGGGGGATTACTTTAAAGGAGATAAAATAAAAATTGATGAATAAATAAATATTTTTTGAGAAAAATAAAAATTCACCTTACTTTTTGATCACACCTCGTATATAACGTCCCGAAACTTAATATTTAACAGTTATAAATTAGTTGACGATAAAGCAATCGATCGAACTCAGCCAAATAAAAAATTTAGTAAACTAAAAGTTAAAGCGCTCAACACCTTAATTTCTTAATTACTCGACATATTAATGTAGGCCGAAAAGTTAATATATTAAATCACTACTCAACTTTTCGGCAGTTGATTCGCGACACACGATTAGCTGTCCGTGAAATTATCGGTCTAATTTTATTAATATTTCCTCGTACAATCTTAGTCGTACATTTCATAATAAATTATAACTACCATTGATTTTGAAATAAAATCTCTTTCTTGAATTAACAAATATCGAGTGTTGTGAGTGCATTATCATTAATTCTTTTACATCATACTACAAAGACAAGTAGTACAAATTTTTAAGAGAAAATAACACAAGGCAAGGACAAATCATCAAAAGGCAAGTCTTAAATATCCCCTTATAAAAAAGTGGTGTGTCAGCAAACTATTCGTGATCTGATTAACTGAGCGAAAGTCACGTGATATTGATAGAGTGTAGCGTGTAGTGTCGTAGCAGATATCTTATATTGAAAACTATTGAGTAAGGTAATAATAAATTCTATTGCATTCTATAAATGGAGTCTATTAATTAAATATATAATTTCGTAAGTATAATATAATTTCATAGACTATAAAAGTGATTATATATATTTAATAAGGGGTTATGATTTTAAATTAATTGTTAAATATCACTGGAAAATGTCGCCATATTCTTAGTAGTTTGGTTTTGAGAGGGCAGAAAGCAGAGGGGATCGAACTGTCAGGAAGTCTTTTCGCGCCATCACTCACGTCCTTTCCGACTCCTGACAGCGAACGGACCAGGTCGACCAAAAAACGTGCCAAGCGTAATCACTATAAATCGTTCGATTACTTCAATGGTAAAAGATATTTCAATATCAAATAAAAAGGTATTGTAGTATAATTACATATAGGTCATATATTTTTATTAATGAATGTCTATAATAAATAGTTATTGGGAATTTTGAAAGTAAGGTTAAATTAGGTTATTACACCTTGATCATCATTATTTTTAAAGGTGTAGTTGAATTGGCAGAAATAAGGTGTATTTTTGATAATAACTTTATTTTTAAAATAATTAATCAAAAAAAAATTCCAGATCATTTAAATATCTTCTTTTTGAAAATGTTGTGAAGATTATCATAAATTAATTTTTATTAAAACAATTTGTCAT